CACGTTGTCACGGTTAACACATTGGAATTGTTAACACGTTGTCACGGTTAACACGTTGAAATTGTAAACACGTTATCACGGTTAACACGTTGGAATTGTAAACACGTTGTCACAGTTAACACGTTGGAATTGTAAACACGTTGTCACGATTAACACGTAGGAATTTTAAACACATTGTCACAGTTAACACTTTGGAATTGTAAACACGTTGTCACGGTTAACACGTTTGAATTTTAAACACGTTGTCACGGTTAACACGTTGGAATTGTAAAAACGTTGTCACGGTTAACACGTTGGAATTGTTAACACGTTATCACGGGGGTGGGGGGTGTAGTAGGGAGGGGGCCATAGATTTCTATTGAAATTAGATTCTACCAGTAGTTAAAATTTCATCAAAAATGCTTTTTACTAGATGTATTGTGAGGCCAAAGAGTCAAAAGTAGGGGTTGTTTTGGATTTGTCAGGTTCGAATGAATTTCGGATCAAAACATTTCAGCTAGTGGGAAAGTCGGGGGTGTTTTCAGGGAGATATCGGGTTTTAGGTATTGTCGCGGACTTTTCGATCCTACCTGAGCCGAATTCTGTGTCAAAAAATATTTCCGCTATGTATGATTTACTAGACCGTGAAAGATGACCTGTGCGTTTTTGTTAGCGCGATTTTGATTGGTAATAATTGTCAAAAGTAGGGGGTGTTTTTGGCGACATATCCCCATGGTTTATAAAGCAGTAGATATCTGACCATTAACAGGCGACCGATCAGAATTTCAGAGCCTGCGATTATGGTCTATTTTAACGGACTAGTATCATAAAAGTATGATGAACTTATCACAAAACAGAATGAAATATTAAAAGAGTTACATGTAGAATTGTTTTACAAATATCTTTATTCAAAGCACTCTGAAAACATTGAAGATATTGACTTAAACGAATTTTTAAAATATCATGATTTCAATATATACTTAATGATAGTCAAAAGGTAAATATTGAAGGTGATTTGAAAGAAAAAGAATGATTATTTGCACTGAAAAACATGAAAAACAATAAATCACCAGGATCGGACGGCTATACTGCAGATTCTTTTGATATTTTTTTTTTTGGCATGATCTAAAACATCTTATTATTAGATCTTTAAATGAAGGCTACAAACATGGGCAGTGAACTATTACACAAAAACAAGGTGCCATAATATGTCTTCCAAAAGGTAATGAACCCAGATAATATTTAAAGAATTGGAGACCTATTACTCTTCTGAACATAACTTACAAATTAGCATATCCATGCATTGCAAATAGATTGAAATCAGTTTTAGACTCTGTAATTTCTAAAACAAAAACAGGTTTTTAAGTGGGAGATACATTGGGGAAAATACACGGTTAATATATATGACATAATGAACTATACAGAGCAACTAATTTTTACTTATTTTGAAAAGGCTTTCGACCCTGTGTCATGGGACTTTCTTGCAAAATCTTTTTCTTTTTTTTTCAATTTTGGAAATAGTATAAAGAAATGGATAAAGGTTTTTAACACAGGATTTTTTTATCAAACTTTGTAGTCATAAAAAGGGGCTGAAGACAAGGGGATCCAGTATTATCTTACTTATTTCTTTTGGTAGCTGAATTAATATAGTTATCATGGTAAAACATAATAAAAATAATAAGGGCATAAACATAAATAACAAAAAACACAGGCTCTCATAGTTCGCTGATGACACATCCTTTATTTTAAATGGCACAAAATCTTCATTCATACAGGTTATAAACATGTTAGATAAAATGCTAAAATATCAGGGTTACAAGTAAATACTGAAAAAAACAAATGTTTTTTTGGATAGGTAGCAAAAAGGTTAGTGCTGATGTATACCATCACAGGTGGAAACTACAATGGGGAACAACCAAATTTACCTTACCTGGGATTGATTTCTCTGTCAATTTAGAAGACATGGCTATTTTAAAAAATTTAACAAAAGTATTAGTATTATGGTGGCAAGTTACATCTATGGTCAAGAAGAATTTTAACACCTATAGGGAGAATAACTGCTCTTAAATATCTATCATTGCAAAAATGAATCACCTGTTTATATCTCTCCCTACTCCAAGTAAAGACATAATTCAATCATTGAACAAAAAGTTTTACAATTTTATCTGGCAATAACTAATCGATAGAATACATGGACTTAAAACTACATGGATTAGGAGAATACATTTTTCTGAAGAAAATTGAATGGCTAAACTTGTTTGGGGAAATTTGTAAGCATAAAAAAATAGGAGAAATAGGAATTGAATACATTAAAAGTATTCATACAGAAAATCAATTTTGTAAAGATGTTTTTGAAACATGGACCAAAGTGGCAGAAATGAAAAATATTATTTATTTTTTATTTTTTTTAAACGCCAATATGGTACAACAAAACTTTTAAGATTGATAATGACCACTTTTTCTGAAATGAATGGTATTTACAAAATGTATTATATGTTGGAGATATAATACAAATGGATGGAGATTTGTTAAGCTATAAAGATTTTGAAGAAAAGTATAATGTTACCACTGGACATTTTCTACAATACAGAAGCATTTGCAAATCATTAAATCATTTATGAGAGGTAATGATATCAGATCAAATAATTCAGTTATTGAAAGACCATTTATACCCTTTCACATCAATGTAATATCAAGAAGTAAAAAAGGAAGTAGAGATATGTTCAACACTCTCATTAATCGAAGAAACCTTACTAATACAGCAAAAGTAAAACGGCTATCTAACCAACTCTTTTCCACTGTTAACTGGAGATCTCGTGTATCTCTCGTTTACAAAATAACAAGAGACAGTAGCATTCAATGGTTCACTTTCAGGCTTCTTTAAAGAATACTTACACTTAATAATCATTATTTGAAAATAATTGGAATCAAACAATGTGATTTATGTAATTTATGCCAAGAAGCAAAGAAATTATAGAACATCTTTTTTATCAGTGTCAAATAACAAATAACTTCTGGCAGGACATACGTAGATGGATATACTTAAAAACTGACCAAACATTCGAAATAAAGGAAGATATTTTACTTTTTGGCAAAACGTCTGAATTCCAAAAATCCATTCTAATTAATATCATCCTGATTCATGCAAAATTCTTCATCTACTTTAGCTCCAGAAAGAAAAGAAACCCTAGTATGACTGAATTTAAAAAATATGTATTTAATGTACATGAGATTGACAAGGTAAAAGCCAAAGAACTATATAATATATATAACAACAATTAAGTATATATTTACATGTAGTATTGAATATTCTAAATTATATATTTATATATATATATATAGGTATATGATATTCTATATGCAAAATGCTGTGAGATGAAACTGATGATTGAAATATAATCTTAACAAATTAAAAAGAAATCACATGAAATATAGCTATGTGTTTACATGTTCATGTTTTTGTTTGTTTGTTTATGTACATGTATGTACGGATGGATATAAATAAATAGGCATGGGTATATATGCATATGTGTGCATATCTGCGTGCATGCATGTGTGTATGCATGGGTGCATGCATGCATATGTATGTTTGTGCATGCATATATTTATGTATGCATTCTCGATTTACACATGCATTAACTACCTGTATTGATTTGTGTTATGTTTATGCATGCATGTAGGAATGTATGTATGTTTACAATATTTTCATATGCCATGTACATGTATGTATGTATGTATGCTACGTATATGTGCGTGTGTTTGTGTATATTTATATTACTACGTAAACTGTATATGTATGTTTCTGTCTGAAAAAAAAGGTTTGTTATAATTGAAGTTTATTATAACTTAAGTTTGTTGTAACTATTACTTAATTTAAACTAAAGTATGCCATACATGTCAAATGTCACTAACATATGTAGAGAAACAGATCAACATTTTTTTTTTAAATAATTTTACATACTAAACAAATAGATATAAAACTTTTTATCGATATCAAACCAAATTAACAATAAATACGATTAAATGAAAAACCGTAATAAAATAGAAACAATCATGAGAGGAGAACTCATTTTGTCGTCATTTAAACCAAAATAAGTTTCCGTCATTTATCACTATACAGGATGAAAATAAACTCTACTTGATTCGCAAGAATGTTGATTTTAGAATGATAAATATTTATATATATATCACTTATGGTGGCACCAAAAAAATCGTGTAAATATCCTTATCGTGGGGAGGAACCAGGAAACCAAGATAAAGTCCAATTCATCGGTCATTTGACTGGTTTTTTTTACCGTTTCACGTCCGAAACCATCTTGTAAAGGACGACCGCGCTATCCACTACGCAAATTCATGAAGATTTCATGTAGAATTGACGTCGATGTTTGCTGATCCAGCTTCTTAAGACGCATATTGATAATTTTCTAGCATTAGGTGTGACTGTGAGTAATAGGTGGTTACACATTTTGGATTATTGACTCCAGTGATTGTTTAGCAGGGTTTTCTACTACTGAGTTTAGGAGCGAGATCCAGTTGTCCTCGACCCTACTACTATATCAGTATTTGGTTACATTTAATATCGTTCTTCTTTTGAACCACTATTTGGAGTTTCCTCTAAAAGTGGTAACTGGAGCCATTTGGATGAGTTTGTCTTTGTCCAGAATAATTGGGTAACACTCCCTCGTATTCTTCTATCATTCAAGGCTAGGTAGACCTAGCGAACGAAGTCTGTCAGTGTTATTACCTATTTAATATTTTTTAAGTAAATACGACAGATTCAGGTAGCATTTCCAGATGAGGGCGTACTGAACTTCCGATCACACAAAACGAACCAGCTAAACAAGAAACATAATGGTCCGAAAAACAGGTTGCTATGATAAATAGATCAATGTAATCAAGATCAAGTGCGCGACCCACATACACCTTAAGATGTAGCAGCTTGTGATATTCAATTCAATCTGCATTTAAATACAAGGGGAAAGAGGGAAGTTGATAACGAACAAACAACATTGAGTCATACTTCTTTAGAATGTTTGAAGGTATGGGTCTCTGACACAATTCTCTAGCAGAAACAAATAAAACAAAACTGTCAGGTCAGCGCGTACGGTTTGTGTGAGCAAGATGACCAGATCTAGAGTATCTGCCGTCATAATACCAACGTCATCAGTTGTTCAGAAGAGAGGCGTGTAGTAATATCCTTACGCTGGTGGCAATGTTTGTTTCTGTAAAAAAAAGGAATATTTTATGAGCAATGATCATACCAGCACAATCAACGAATGGAACTTAGAGAATTAATCATACGAAAACTGTTTTCGGAGGTAAACGGAGCTTGTACTAAGGACCATGCGTTAATTATCAAATATACGATATTAACGGTATCAATCGGGCTTTATTATTTTGCAACAGCCAAGGTCATTTGAGATCGGATACCTAAGATCGGCGCCTTAAACAGAAAGTAGATAGAAAAAGAAAGGAAGCAGAAGGAAAAATAGGAAACGAAAAAGACTCCCAAGCGTTGCCAGCGGTGACAACACTAATGTTTTGGTCTCCTCCATGCCCTCTGGTATAAGACATCATAGAAGAAAAAAAACATTCTGCAAGGCCCCACAGTAGTCGCCCTTTACGACCATGCAGTGGTATACAGCAGACATACTATTTACCCAAACATGCATAGATTTACTGATGAACATATAAAAGCTATCAGGTGTTCGGCATTTATAGAAGTGATCATACAAAAACCATAAGGATTATATAGTGAGTATCACCTTAAATGTATCAATTGTACGGAAAGTACAGCAACAGCCATACTTATGCTATCGGGCATATGAAGCATTATTGCTATTTTGATGTGTAGGCTATATATGGTAGTATTCCAATCGTCATTGTAATTGTTCAAATATAAAATGCCTAGATATTAAAACAAACATCGTCATTACCGTTTGTACTCCAGTTGATGGCTGTAGAGTCAGTCGCACACATTATCAATGGATAAGATGTTGAGTTTTCCCACGGACACACGTAGTTTGTGTCGTGATCGTCCGCAATTACTACCCAACCATAATCGTTTTGGCAGCCACCATAATATTTGTTGATGAAGAAGTGCCTAGATGGGTGCCTGAATAAAGAAAGAAATACATTGTCTTTTAATATCAAAGGTGTCCTTGACAGTAATTTTGACGAGATTTCTTAACACGACCACGCAAATAACAATTAGTCGCCATTTGTTTACAATCGGGGTTTCCCCAACGGGCTGTAACTCATACCGAAAATGACGTCATGATAAGGGGGAATTCCCACATTACGAAGTTTCCCGATGTTAGCCGATGTTTGCCGACTTCATTATACATGGAATACCTTAACTTTGTTGACGTCGTACGTATATTTATTGACGTCGTATGTATCTTTGTTGACGTCGTATCTGAACTCTGTCGGCGTCGTATGTATCTTTCTTGATGTCGTTTGTATCTTTGCTGACGTCGTATTTGAACTCTGTCGGCGTCGTATGTATCTTTCTTGATGTCGTTTGTATCTTTGCTGACGTCGTATTTGAACTCTGTCGGCGTCGTATGTATCTTTCTTGATGTCGTTTGTATCTTTGCTGACGTCGTATTTGAACTCTGTCGGCGTCGTATGTATCTTTCTTGATGTCGTTTGTATCTTTGCTGACGTCGTATTTGAACTCTGTCGGCGTCGTATGTATCTTTCTTGAAGTCGTTTGTATCTTTGCTGACGTCGAATTTGAAATCTGTCGACTTCGTATGTATCTTTCTTGATGTCGTTTGTATCTTTGTTGACGTCGTACGTTAACTTTGCTGACGTCGTAGGTTAACTTTGCTGACGTCGTACGTTAACTTTGCTGACGTCGTACGTTAACTTTGTTGTCGTCGTACGTTAACTTTGTTGTCGTTGTACGTTAACTTTGTTGCATCTGTCGCATCTTATTTTAATCGCCCAATCAAATGTCGTGTTATATCTTAAATAACTTAGAATGGCGACGTTGAACTACATCTCTGTTATTTCTTTTTACTATTTTATTGTCGTCGTACGCAATTTTTTTTAAGTTATTTCTTTTAATGTTTTTGGTTTCCTTTGTTGACGTCTTTTTATTTGACGTTATAATATAATATTAACTTTATTAATTTTACAACAATTACGAAACAAGCTATTACAATTCATTATAAGCACTCTTGCTGGTCCAGGTGCTAGCGCGCGGGGGCTCTTATTGTGGGAGGAAACCACTTATTGCACGCTTTCCACTGCACCTTCTGACCACCTTTTTTGACGTTATACATGACCTTTATTGACATTGTAGTTTATTATCGCAGACTTCGTAGGTAAACACTATTCAAGTTTTCAATTATATTTGTTGATATCGAACAGTATCTTTGCTGACGACATACGTTATGTTTCTTGACATTATACGTTATGTTATAACCACGTGTATCATCTTTTGAGGTTGTCGTAGCTTATCTTATTAAAATCATCTGGTACATGGCTCCCTAAATAATGCTAAATTTATCTTAGTGTAACACTAACAGGAGAGGAACATTAAAAATGCACGGCCAGGCTGGTATTCGAACTCTGGACTCTCTAACAGCTACCTGGTGAACAACCCAGTCCAGTTCTGCTAAGTACTTTCATCCCTTCCTCATTTTCCGTTCATGTGTACATGTAGTGCGAAGTTAACGGAGCCTAACAGATGATTTTAGTCAGATTGCAGGCATTGTATATTTTCTTTGTTGTCGTTGTAGCTACGTTTGCTGATGTCGTACTTTATCTTTGTAAACTTTGAATTGTGTTGACATTGTGAATCGAAATTGGTTCATTGCACGCTATACGTGTCGACGATTAACACTACAGTATCTTTACTGTCGCAATTTCTTATCGTACGTTGGCATTGTTTTAGGGTTTTTTTGGCTTTGTAGACGTTATCTATTTATAGGCGTTGCTTTTGTAACCTTGTGGATGTTGTACTTTATATGTGTTAACGTCGCACGATTTGTCTAGACTGTAGGTTATCATTGTTGACGTCGATTGTTATTTTCGTTGACCCCATAGATAAATTGTTTTGACATCGTGAATTAAGTTTTTTGACTTTAATCGTTATTTTTATTGATGTATTTTGATCTTTATTTTCGTCAAATAAATAAATTCGTTTACATTTTACGTTAACTTTGTAGACGTTTGGCGTTATTTTTGTAGACGTTTATACGTTATTTTTATAGACGTTTATACGTTATTTTTGTAGACGTTAATACGTTATTTTTGTAGACGTTTTATTTTTGTAGACGTTTATACGTTATTTTTGTAGACGTTTATACTTAATTTTATAGACGTTTATACGTTATTTTTGTAGACGTTTATACGTTATTTTTGTAGACTTGTAGACGTTATTTTTGTGGACGTTTATACGTTATTTTTGTAGACGTATATACGTTATTTTGTAGACGTGTATACGTTATTTTATAGACGTTTATACGTTATTTTTGTAGACGTTTATACGTTATTTTTGTAGACGTGTATACGTTATTTTTGTGACGTTTACACGTTATTTTTGTAGAAGTTGATACGTTGTTTTTGTAGACGTTTTTACTTTATTTCTGTAGACGTGTATACGGTTTTTTGTAGACGTTTAAACGTTATTTTTGTAGCCGTTTATACGTTATTGTTTAGACGTTTATACGTTATTTTTGTAGACGTTTATACGTTATTGTTTAACGTTTATACGATATTTTTGTAGACGTTTATACATTATTTTTGTAGACGTTTTTACGTTATTTCTGTAGACGTGTATACGGTTTTTTTGTAGACATTTATACGCTATTTTTGTAGACGTCTTATACGTTATTTTTGTAGACGTTTTTACGTTATTTCTGTAGACGTGTATACGGTTTTTTTGTAGACGTTTATACGTTATTTTTGTAGACGTTTATACGTTATTGTTTAGATGTTTATACGTTATTTTTGTAGAAGTTTATACGTTATTTTTGTAGACGTTTATACATTATTTTTGTAGACTCGTATACGTTATTTTTGTAGACGTTGATACGTTATTTTTGTAGACGTTTATACGTTATTTTTGTAGACGTTTATACGTTATTTTTGTAGACGTTTATACATTATTTTTGTAGACGTGTATACGTTATTTTTGTAGACGTTTATACGTTATTTTTGTAGAAGTTTATACGTTATTTTTGTAGACGTTTATAAGTTATTTTTGCAGACGTTTATACGTTATTTTTGTAGACGTTTATACGTTATTTCTGTAGACGTGTATACGGTTTTTTGTAGACGTTTTTACGTTATTTTTGTAGAAGTTGATACGTTGTTTTTGTAGACGTTTATACGTTATTTTTGTAGACGTTTATGTTATTTTTGTAGACGTTTATGTTATTTTTGTAGACGTTTATACGTTATTTTTATAGACGTTTATACGTTATTTTGTAGACGTGTATACGTTATTTTTGTAGACGTTTATACGTTATTTTTGTAACCTTTGTACACAATCTTTATTGACGTTGTACTTGATATGTTAGACGTTGATACATTTTATTTTGTTTACGTCGAATGTTAAATGTGTTGGCATTATACTCCATAATTGATAAAGTTTTACGTTTCTTTCTGTAGACGTCGTATATTGTACGTTTTCGTAGTTGATTTTGCATGTTATCTTCGTATGTTTACAATATGTAACACAAAAGTAAACAATAACAATATACTCGATACAGGTACAACATTCCAGCTCATACAATAGTACTAAGAACTATATAAAATGGAGACGAATAGCGAATAGTAATCTCGAATAACTGATTACACTCTAGAATAAAGAGAATAAGATTAAACAAATTCGAAAACACAGTAACATTATTGGATAAACAATAACATTTATCGATAAAAATAACTATAAAGGAAAAAATGACTAAAATCTCAAATATATCATAAAATTCTGATATTTCATAAACAACAACACTTTAGAATGACGATCACAACCCTGAATGAATAATAACATTCAATCATAACAAGGGTTCATTTTGAGGTGATAAGGTATATATTGTATGACGCCCCCCCCCCCCTAAATATCATAGTTATCCTTTATAATTTTATTTAAAACAATTCAAATTTCATAATATTTTTTATTCTGATAAAATCGAAATATCTGTGTACAAGACACAACATTGCGGAGTAATTGCATCGCCATGGAACTTTAACTAAACCATTTTTTTGTATTTTTGTTTCTGGTTATCCGATATAACCTGTAAAAGTATAGTATTGGGGAAGTAGTTTGAATCAAATTATCCGATGATACGCTGTATCTGCATATAGTTGATAAAAACGACGACACAGAAATCTTTTGAAGATGATCAATGTATGTTTTTATTTATTTTTTATAATTTGGACAATAGAAAACAATTACCTGTCGATACTAAAGACGTTGGCTGCTGTTGATTTGTCAAGCAACGTGCTCTCGATAATCCTGTTGGATGCGAACCAAGAGGTGTTGGAACTGCTTGTGCCGTCAAAGCTGATTCGTCTGCTCCTTCTTCTCTCGTCACTCTTGTACTGTACTATGAAAGTTACCTAAAATAGACAGAAAAAGGACATTACAAACACTCAATACAGCACAGAAATACACAGTGCGTTACACATAGTCTATAACAAAACAGTGGTAAGGACTATGAGACACAAATTATATTTACGAAATCATGATACGCAGAAATACATCTGTAGAATCGGATTATTACAAAAATTATCTTGGTCGCAGATGATAGTTAACTTAATTAAAAGGATAACTGCAAGACAGAATTTTACACATAATCGCTTCTTAAAGATCAGACGATTACAAAAACAAAAAAATACTTCTGTGAGATTAGACGTTTACACAAAGGTTAAACATTAATTAATTACATGTAGAATGATACCAAGTCAAAATCACTTTAAAAGCCATGTCTAGTTTGACGTGTTTGCTTATGGAGACATGAATTTTTGAGTAAAAAAAACATCCTACATTTTGAACACCAAGTCTTTCCCAACAGCCAATGAGAGGATTGCGGTAAGATGGCGGCGACCAGTAGCCACGTCCATGCCAAAGGTCAACGGAATTTTGGTTCGACCCAGCATTTATCACAAACACTTTGACTGCGCCTAGAATTACAATGGATAGGCAGAAGACCATACACGTGATAAAACTAATTTTATTCATATTCACACAGATACCAAACGCTCCGTATAGCAGTGTGATGACGTCACTTTTATTATTGATAAGTATGTACTTCTGAACTTTCTAGTAACTGCATTCAAACCGACAGATTCTCTGGCCAGATGTACATGAAACGGGTTTACAAAAATAATTGAACTAAACATATGATATATCTTCAATAAGGTTAACAGTTGGAAAGATGTGTGTGTCAGAGTTTTGCTTAATACACAAAAGACGTGACCATGAGAGTGTCGTAATGAGTTAAAGAACGCGGGTCTCTTTGTCAAGCTATGCATGACAGTTTCTCCTTGTTTGTAAGAATGAATTGTACATAGATTCATATCGCACAACAACTAAAATGTTTATGTGTGGCGTTTCGGTGACTAGTACGATATGTACTCCGTCACCTTCATCAGAAAAATAACCGTTAAGGAATATATACACTGAGGTGTATTGAATGTAACCAACGACAATCAACGCGCCGAATCGATTCGGTTATCCTTTGATTTATACCCAGTCATAGTTGTGCAAGAGTTCACGTGTTCATAGACTAAAGAATGCTATGAATATCATCGGCAAAACACAGACAGATCTTGTGAGAGATTGGCGTGTCATAAACAGTTAAATCAATACCAACGTAAGGTAATGCATCTTCGCTAGCCAATGGTTACGATCCGGTACGATTCGATCTGCATACTCTTTATTGTTAAATAGTATAAGGGTGACGAGAAGGTAGAGCGGAGCGTACGGGATCGTGCAGCCCTTGGCTAGAGATGATGACGGTAACGGTACTTAACGCTAAACTGACCGAGCGATTATCGAGTTGCACTGCAGGAGATAGGAACACGCACATGAATTGTATGAGGGAACAGCGCTACTTGATTGAATCAAACCGTCTGACAGAGAAAACAACAATAACGAACACCAACACAAAGGAAGCTTTGAATGATACAGTGCCGAATATGAGGGTTAAGACCATCTCAAAAAGGAGCTCAGCAGTACAATAAAACGTTACTCCAAACAAATTTCTATTTGGTGATTACACTGTAGACACAAAACACGCGAGTAGAAAACTGAATCCTGCTAAGGCTGACCAACTCGTAGTGGTTTTTTTAAATGTACCAAATCGAAACCCAAATAAGCATTAAGACATGAACGAACGGCGACACTTCAAAACCTCAGGCAGAGACAAATATATTTATACTATTACCAGTTGGTTTAAACTTTATTTTATTCAAATTTTGTTTACCAATACATCGAAGTACATGTTTTATAGAACAGAAAAGGAAACAAAACAAGTGTCGTGATACTTATGTAAATTTGCTACCTGCTTAATAATCAACTTTTCAACACTAGCTATACGAATTAAGTAATATTACAAGTTGATAAGGGCAATGCTAGTCGTCGCGGGGATAGACGATTATGATAGCTAGGTCGTGATTATGCTCCAAGACAACAAAACATATGAACCGCTTCAGACCAATCCAACGCAAAAGTTTAAAAGACACCTCATCTCATAGCCATCATGTCCAAAATGAAACAAGAAAGTAAGGTTACTGTATCTCCATACAAATACCTGTATCTAACTGCAAAGAACACGCGCACAGTAGAGTACTGTAATCAACATCAACATAAAAGGGAAGTCACCGAGACGTATAACTGTGGAAGAAATGGCTCCACCACTGTTTAACATATTTCCCGGTCTATAGCAGACATTCTGGGACAGCTATTGGGTAAATCGAAACACTATGTCATGAATATGGCCATGACCATAATCCAAATAGCTACCGCCTTCTTAGAGTGCTTGCAGGCCAGGCTTATGGAAATGATTTGTATGTTAGAGATCATCTAGAAAGGGTCACATAGGGATTCAATTGTCATTATCAACAGCGTAGATACCAAACAGCAATAAATTTACAAGTAAAGAAGAAATCAACCGCCCAAAGTCATTTTTTGACAAACTACTTGTAAAGAAATATGACGGAACCGCGAAGGTCTTGGTCTATAGCTTAAAGTCGCATACAGACCAATTACTGAACTTTAAACCTCACCATCATTTGCAAGAGAAGTTGGGCGTGGTACGCATCCCAATAGATGCGATACGATTGTCAAAGAACAACAGGACAAACTACAAAAGAAGGATCACAATAACGGGGAAGTTGGAACATGTGAAGTTCTGTAATAGATAAAGAGAAGGGTACGAAATGCATGTTCAAAATAAAAGAAACAACAAGAAAATGTCAATTAAGGAGAAGAACAAAATAATATTTCAAGTGGTCATCCCGTAAGGATTATCTGAATACAATACGTTTGGAAATATCCTGGTACACCATAGGGAAAGCACACACAATGATTTTTTTGCAGAATACATGTTCAAATTTATACCGCAGAAAATAGCGGACAATTTGTTGAACACTGGAGAGATACGGAAATCCAAAATGATAGAAATTTACCGATCCGAATAGTTGGAGTACCAGATCAATAAATCGGCAACACATATGACACACAGCAAAATCGTGAAATTGACTGCAAACATTCGACAAACAGAACAACCTATTAAGTTGGCAGATAAAGGAGGCCATTTGGATACCCCTCAGCCTTCCAGTTCTGAATCGAAAGGATGAACTTATTGGCCAAACATTTAAAAAACATTACTGAACGAAATCGTCGATTGACTGTCATTTGATACATTAATAACCACTAAGTGTTCGTACTCTTACAACGTAGCCACATCGACGGCGATTGCATTGTCTTGTACAGGATATGGAGGTTCCCCAACGAGTATTGGTTGGTTATCATGTTTGTCTAACTCGAGTTAGTTAATTTTCACATTGTATAAAGGCATGAAGTTTACCGAGTGTCTTTTACAATTTGAAAATTGACTAACGAGTGTTAGATAAACATGATAACCTACTATCACGAGTTTGGTGACCTCTTTCTCCCATAACATTCCTATTTTATCTGGAAAGTCGTATGTTTCCCTTGAAAATACACTTTGTCAGGTTCCAATGGGGGGAAACAATTGCCGTGAATCATGACGTCACAATGGAAGATGACGTCGCAAAACATTATTACGTGACGTCAGTAATAGACTGATCAATGAAATCACGTCCAGGGTGTTACCCACTAGTGGTCAACAAAGAATGTTTACCAACTCTTAGCAGGTTTATCCAATGAGTCAGGAGTGAGGAAACCTATAGTGGTTGTGAAGAAATATATCTAACATCTTGGTGTTGGTACACTTTACTAGTCATTTATCTGATGACGACAATACATAAATATCGTACTAGACCTCGAAACGTCACACATTAACACTTTACTAGACGTGATATGACCCTACATGTTGTGTATGATGAAGTGAATATCTGCAATTACGTCGATATCTGTGACAGTATCGTTATGCCTGTTGTGTTATATCTGTGACAGTATCGTTATGCCTGTTGTGTTATATCTGTGACAGTATCGTTATGCCTGTTGTGTTATATCTGTGACAGTATCGTTATGCCTGTTGTGTTATATCTGTGACAGTATCGTTATGCCTGTTGTGTTATATCTGTGACAGTATCGTTATGCCTGTTGTGTTATATCTGTGACAGTATCGTTATGCCTGTTGTGTTATATCTGTGACAGTATCGTTATGCCTGTTGTGTTATATCTGTGACAGTATCGTTATGCCTGTTGTGTTATATCTGTGACAGTATCGTTATGCCTGTTGTGTTATATCTGTGACAGTATCGTTATGCCTGTTGTGTTATATCTGTGACAGTATCGTTATGCCTGTTGTGTTATATCTGTGACAGTATCGTTATGCCTGTTGTGTTATATCTGTGACAGTATCGTTATGCCTGTTGTGTTATATCTGTGACAGTATCGTTATGCCTGTTGTGTTATATCTGTGACAGTATCGTTATGCCTGTTGTGTTATATCTGTGACAGTATCGTTATGCCTGTTGTGTTATATCTGTGACAGTATCGTTATGCCTGTTGTGTTATATCTGTGACAGTATCGTTATGCCTGTTGTGTTATATCTGTGACAGTATCGTTATGCCTGTTGTGTTATATCTGTGACAGTATCGTTATGCCTGTTGTGTTATATCTGTGACAGTATCGTTATGCCTGTTGTGTTATATCTGTGACAGTATCGTTATGCCTGTTGTGTTATATCTGTGACAGTATCGTTATGCCTGTTGTGTTATATCTGTGACAGTATCGTTATGCCTGTTGTGTTATATCTGTGACAGTATCGTTATGCCTGTTGTGTTATATCTGTGACAGTATCGTTATGCCTGTTGTGTTATATCTGTGACAGTATCGTTATGCCTGTTGTGTTATATCTGTGACAGTATCGTTATGCCTGTTGTGTTATATCTGTGACAGTATCGTTATGCCTGTTGTGCTATATCTGTGTGTCTCCACATTAATTTCAACACCTCACTTTTCGTCCAAGTAAACCCGTACACGTTTCGGTTTTTTACATATTGAATGGAGAACAATTGTGTTGCCTATTTCATTAAATGAGTAATACTATTAGTCACACGGATTTTTGGCAGGGTATACGGGATGGTATGACCCTAAAGGGTTTCGTATTTCCTGAGGCCGATAGGCCGAAGGAAATACGAAATCCTGTAGGGTCATACCATCCCGTATACCCTGCCAAAAATCCGTGTAACGAATTTATTACCCCTTTGAGTCTTTTATATTGGTTTTGTACAGTTCCCCGTCAACTTTTCTGTTGTCAAGATAAAAA